AGGACTAGCAGTGTGACTAAGGTTACGCGTACATTCACCGGATTAATTTAACAAATGTTTCCTGAAGGCTAAAAGCCGCCAACATCCTTCAGGCTGTCATCCTTCCTGTCTACACATGGGGGGCTGAGCGTCTCATGGGCACAAGGTGGAAGGGCTGGGGATGGGAGCTCAGGGCACCAACACGCCGAGGGCGCCGTGCCTCCTGCACGTGCGGCTCCTCAGGTACCTCGGTGTATTCACGCACCAGACGCTTCTTGAGCACAGGGTCAGGTCATGACCGCATGGAGTTCACTTACCTTAATTTCGGCATCTGTAGGTCTGCCATCTATTTTAGCAAACCCCTCAAAAATCGTTTTATAGAGAACATTCTTGCGTGTGGTGGTGTCATCTGGAGGGAGGTACTCTAGAATCAAAGCCCCGTGCTGTTGATACATGTCCAGGATAATTCTGACCGCCGTCTCTCGGACCTCATACACTCTGTGCTCCAGGGCGCTCACTGAAAACTAAAAATAAAGTTGGGAGGGGTTCTTGTTGTTACTTTAAAATAATGAAATTAATTTTTTTTCCAGCATAAAAGAAATATAGGTACCTTATAGACGTCTGAAGAGTGAAATCCTCAGAATTCCAGCTATTATGCTATTATGATACTGTTTACCTTCCACACGTAGATGAACTTATGTTTGTATATATAACTTGTGTTTTTGTTTTTTTCCACTTAACACATTCATAAGCACTTTATAGGCTATATCCTGGGACTTCACATCAAGTATTACACAATGTTCCATTCGCAGAGAAGAGGAAATACAATAAACTTCATGCACCCTCCACCTCCGTTAACTGGCATTACAACTTTAGTTACAGATCTTTTCTTTTTATTCCAAGGAAAGAAAACACCTTGGCCATCATGCAAGTCCCCTTTGAGGGGCCCCTGGGCTTGCTGCCTTCTCATCCTCCTTAGACGCATGGCTGTCTGGAGGCTGGCATGTCGCCCACCTCAAGTCTGCGTTTATGGGAGGGTGTGTGCACATAGTTTTGGCCTGACATTCTAAAGTGCTAGCCCTTCTGAAGTTGTTTTTCTAGGTGATGTCCCTTCTCAAGAGTTGGGCATGACCCTTCATCCAACCC